TATGACTTTCCATTATATGTCCATTGCTGACGACAGAAAGTTTTGGAACGTCATCCGAATATTCTCCGCAAATAACCACAATGAACTGATGCCCTGTTCGTGTCCTGATATCTAGTTGTACTGGCTCAGTAACTCCCGCTTAATTCCTTAAGTTTTGCTTAAATTTACAGACAATGCAATTTTTCTAGCAAAATTACAATTTTAGCCGCCGCTTGGAGCTCATACCTTATAGACTTGGTCGATATGAGCCATCTTCTATCGAAAAGGTACATACCTTACTTTGAATGAGGATTAAAGAATGTGGTTATCGCGTCTAGGTGGTGGCTTACCAATTTGTACTTCCACCTCATTTAAAAAAAATTTGTTTGTAAGAGTAAGTGTTCGCCTTAGAAGCATAGTGTTAAGTCGTTAGAAATTTTTGAATTAGTAGAGGTTCATTCAAGCTAAATTTGCGTAATATGTTAGGTCGTGTCCTTAAGGCTGTGATTTTATTGGTCACCTGCTTATTCAAGCGAAATTGGCAACTCGGCTTTCTTTGAGGCTGACGCTGTCATAGGCTGACGTGTTTAAGTGACTGCATTCACCTGTCACCTTGCTTGCTACCCGAGAGAGCATCTATCCAATCAGCTGCACGACCTGAGCACCTTTTAGCTATAAATTCTTAAGCCATGGCCTCTTTCGGGCTTAACAACTTTATGAGTAGCGTTGGGATCAGTCTGAAGCCAAGAATGACGACAACTACTGATCAGTACGGCAATGCTGTTACATTTGCGGTATGTATTGCAGTATGTCCTTAAAGTGTTTTGTGTTGGTTTTGGATGTAGGAAGGAAAATAACCACATCCTAACTTTCGAACGTTAGAGTACCGAAAACGTAACGAGTTTCTAATTTTGATATCATAATAAGAAACTTGTTACGTTTTTGGTACTCTATTTTATAACCCAGATAGGTAACTTTCAATAATCACTATTGCGATGTTGCAGAAGGAAGGTTGCACAGAGACCGAAAAATACTTTATTGCTAAAGCACTTGTGTAATAGCTATCATTGTGACTATTTTTCTTAAAAAACATGTTTTCATACACTTACGGCTTCAGAATGTGTATTTGCTCTATAAAGTATTCTGATCGTGTTTAGCACACTGTTTTTTTAATGCAGCATAATATTTGTGTATTCAATGTTTACATTCCTGGTAGGAATAGACACATATTAGGCTTCATAACTACTAATCCCAAGTTTCTAAAGTCTGCTCCTTGTCTCACCATAGGGAGTCCGCGCTCCTGTTATCGGTGATGTCGGATTCACACTCAGTCCGGGAACGATTCGCTTTGGTAGATTCCAGGATCCTCGAGCTGCTTTGCGAGCTCGTTTACAGAACAAGGTCGTAGTTCCACCGGATTCCGGAAGCTCGGCTAGCAAACCCGTACCAGCATCTACACGCGGTGAAGTGGCAAGGCAAGGAAGGTCGTATGAAGAATTAAAAGCGAAGCATCTTGCCGCTGGGACACTTTTTGAAGATGATGAGTTTCCAGCCATTGGTTCCTCCGTATTCTACAGTCAACAGACTGCCGGTCTGTTCCAATGGAAGCGGCCAACGGTTTGTTTTACGGTCTTTCCAAAAAGGTTTATGATTATTAGTTGCCACTTTCTATGTGGCAGGGCAATAACCCATATTTAATTTTCCCTAAATTGAGGGCAGATGCTTGCAGACTCAACAACAGATTACCTTTTTAAATTAATTGAAGGAGACCGACATGATTTCACCATGCTGGGACACTTTTGTCGACATTACTTCATGAGTCTTAAATCGCACTTTAGTA